AAGTACATAATTAAATAAATCAGAAAGAAAGAAAAAGCATTCCCACAGAAGAACGCCAACTATTTGGCAATCAGCATAGTAATAACTTACTTGGGTAAGAATAATAAATAGATGCTGTAATCATTGGGTGAAAACTTTGATGACCCACAGGATACTTATATAGGCTCAAAGTCTCTTTCTCCAACTTACTAATTACAGAGAGAAAATAGTAAATTTATAGTGGAGAAAGCTGGGTGTGAGTGGGGGGTACACTTAAACCAAGTGATCAGTGATAACATCACCAAAAAATGGGATAAACATCACATCCTCCTGATGTGATGCATTGAGGACACAGTATCACATGTGTGATACTGCTGCCCAAAATCAAAACAAATGAAATTGACTTTAATGAGAAAGAAATCAGACAAGCCCATGAATGATGGATATTATTTTTAAAAATTGGATTGAATATACTCTTAAAAAATTACCATATCATGAAAAACAAAGGAAAGCTGAAGACCTCTTCCAGATTAAAGTTGTCTAAAGAGACATTACAACTACATGTGTGATTCTGAATTAGATCCTGGACTGGAAAAGAAATTCTTACACATCACGTGGACAACAGGTAAAATTTGAGTATGGATTGTATTATGTAATTATGTATTACATAATATTGTAGCAGTGTTAAATTTCCGATTTTTATATTTGTACTGTGGTTATGTAAGATAATCTCCTTGTTCTTTTAAAAAAATTTTTTAAATTTTTATTTTAGAGGGAGGGTAAGGGTGGAAGAGAGGGAGAGAAAACTGATGTGAGAAACATTGATTAGCTGCCTTCCGTATGTGCCCCCACTGGGACTGAACCTGCATGTGCCCTGACTGGAAATTGAACCCATGGCCTTTTGATTTGAGGTTTAATGCCCCCAAAACTGAGCCATGCCAGCCAGAGCACTCTTTTTTTTCCTTAAGAAATATCCACTGAAGCATTTAGAGGTCAGTGGACACAATGCCTGCAACTTAACTACAAATGGTTGCAGAAAAATATGTGTGGATGCACACAAAAACAGACAGCATTGAAATGTGGCAAAATGTTAACAATGGGGAAATGTGGGTGAAGGATATAGGAGTCGTTTTGTACTAATATTGCAACATTTCTCTTAAATTTAAAACTATTTTGAAAAAAAATTGTTTTTAAATTTCCTTCTGATTCCTTCCTTGATACTTAAAATATTTATTTCCCACCCTGGTTGGTGTGGCTCAGTGGATTGAGTGCCAGCCTGCAAACTAAAGTGTTACTAGTTCAGTTCCCAGTCAAGGCACATGCCTGGGTCACAGGCCAGGTGCCCTGTAGAGGAGGTGTGAGAGGCAACCACACATTGATGTTCCTCTCCCTCTCTTCCTCCCTTCCCCTTTAAAAAGAAATAAATAAAGTATTTAAAAAAAATTTTATTTCCTTTTCTCCACCATTCACAGTCTGGGGTTCTTAATGGGTAAGAGTTTGTGTAATTTCAGACTGTACTGCTTGAAATGGCATGGGGGAGATGGAAATTTGTATCACTTACAATGAAATGATTAGGGCACTAGCCTTTTGAACAGTTGAGGAGGAAATGCTGCTGCTGTTTTGTTGCGGGGTCTGTACCAGCTAAAGGGCTGTGGTGTGAGGTCTGCCCCATCTCCCTTGGCCTGGAGGAAAAAGGGGACCGTTTTAGTCACAGGCATCTTGCCATCATTATTTCGTCTTAATTTGGTCATTGGTAACTGCGAGGAAAGGGAGAAAATCACTAAGGTAGCAAGAAGGATGTGTATATATATTGTGTATCAATCCCTCCCTTCTTAAAAGGCCAGGCCAATGCAAATAAGTGTCTGTGGGATCTCTAATATAAATGGGTCTATCAAGCTAACCTGAAACCATTTTCTCATTGAAATGCTTTGAACTGGACTACTTACTGTGTGGTTAAATGCCTTTAATTTCCAGCATGATGCTCATACGATACAGAAAAGCAGTCCAGTCCTCACATCCTTTGCTTTAATTCCAGTGTTTATAGTAGACAACTGGATATTCCAATCCAGACATTAGGTACAGATTTCACAATTACAAAGAGCCGAACATCAGCATCTCCCTCAAGGGACATTCACCAAAGGAGCAAAGCTGAAGCCAGGAATACTGACAAAATGCTTTAACCAAAAATTGTACTGAAAAGAGATTCCTCAACAAGCCACCAGATTCACAGATAAGGAGAAACACAATATTAGCAATGTAACAGCATTCAGTAGGTAACTAGTCAAACAAAGCTGTACATAGTTTACCATAGACAGAGCTTGGGAAACTGGGGACATAGGTCTAAGATCTGCAGTTAGTCCATGCCCGACCTACCAGCCAGGTCCCTGAAGTTTACATTTGGGTCTCCATTCTGAGGGCCCCACCAGAGGCCCTATGCTGGTTAGTCTCCCCTAATAGTTGGGCCTTTTTTTTTTTTTTTGGTCTATGTCAAAGGGCATAGGAATCAGCAAAACTGGCCATCTCCAAAAGCTGATAGGGAAGCATAGATCTCAGTTAATTTCACATATGATGAACAAAAAAGCTAAGTCCACAGGCAACTGTAGAGTGTGAAAGTGTGAAAACTGTACTTCAAACACCACAGGTGTGTGCGCACGCGCGCCCTTGTCCCCCCCCCCCGCCCCGCATCCCCCAACCCCACCTCAAGTTCTGAGTTCTTTTGTTTGAGTTAGCTTATTTCTCTGCTTTATGTGAACAGTGAATGTCCAATGTGGGCCTAAAGTGCTATTATTCTCTTGGAGGGATTTTTGTTTTTCTCAGGAACCAAACCCTTAAACTAAAAAACCCAACTATTTATCTAAAGCTGGTGGAGTAGGTTTGCTTATGAAGTCACACCCTGTTGGCATCACAAAGGCCTGGGAGCCTCTGTCCTGAAGGACTGAGCCAATTAACTAATGTTCTCTACCAAATTCTTGGCAGGTGTCAACCTGTTCTTCACAAAGGCTCAGCAGCTGCATTGCTCCCAAGATGTTACATCTCAACATTGACTCACTATAGGGCCAGAGGAGTGGCCCGGGTTTCTACTGCCCTGAAGGAGTCTTGGGACTTTGTGTAAGCAGCTGAGTTGCTCTTCAGTGCTAGGGTAAAACTCTCCTATCCTCAAGAACATGAAAATTCCCAGGATAACTAAAGCAGCTATTTTTACATCTCCTTAGCAAATGAGGCTGAGAAAGAGCTGGACTATGTAAGTAAAATGAAGTCGAAACTTTTAAAAACAATGCAGATATAATCAACAGGTTAAATAAGGAGTTTCTATCTGGCAGAACTACAACATCTTTGAATTCCTCCTTGAGTACTATGCTGTTGCTTTCCTTGTGGATCTTTCATTAATCGTATGCACTATTTTATAGTTTCAATTTCTTGCACACAGGTTTATTTTCAGAATTATCAGAGAAACATCTTAGACTGTATGTACACAGAGATTTCAATCAAATTGGTAATTTGGTTTATATTGATCCTGATACTTTAATGTATATGTTGATATAACTGCTTTATTTTCATACGTTATTGTGACCTACAGCATTTTAAAGATGAGGCTTTCATTCTTAAAACCATAGCCAGCTTCACCGGACCTCAAATGTAGTTTTCGAGACTCTCATTTTTGACAATGAATTTGGAGAGGAATGAATAAGTAAGTCATTTCTGAACCATGACTGAAGGACCTATTTAATAAATAATAAAACCTTTCCCCTGCTGCCCTTCCAATTTTGGCTGGAGGCTCCACAGTGGCCTGCTTGTGCCTGAGTGTGAAATCAAATGTTTTCCACATTTTGCCTCAAGTTTGCCTTGCAAAGGCATTAGAAAGGAAGACCTCTGAAAACAATTTAAGAGAACCCTGATGAGATAACCTGGAGAAGATCTTTACTCAGTGAAGGGCGGTGTTACAACTAGTTTTCCTATGGACAGTGCATGAATAGATGGGTTTAAAAGGACACAAAATAGAATGCGCAATTTTTGTTTAGAAAAAAAGGGAAAAATACCCACTGGTAAAACCTAAAACCACCGACGGTGGAGACTTGATCATCTTATTAACAGAATAGGGGGCTCTCTCTAGGACTGGGTGTGATCAGACCCAGAACTCTGAAAGGAAGCATGGGGACCAACATGATTTCAGTGGGGACCAGGAAGTGCCATTGGTTATGTAAGGGAAGAGCAAGAGGTTCACTCAGGTGTAGGGACAGAAAAACATACCATAGCACAGAACACATAATAGCTGTGTAATAAATACTTTGTAAATAAATACTGATCCCTTTATAAAGAAAGCCTTAGAAGCCAGTTGAAGACACTCTTGTTACTGGGCAACACTGACTTACATTCTCCTGGTTCTCACTGGCCCAAGACAATTTCATAGGACACATATATATTGCACAAAAGTCTATGACAGGTTTCCACAAGGGAGAGGTTTCCAACTGCTTCCTGCTGTTCCCACAGAAGGTCAGATGAAAGTTCCCTCAGTCATTATTCATTGTGCTCCAGCATGCCTCTCCTCCTGTGAAGGGCCACAAGTCTGTCTATTTAGTTCAATGGCAGACTATAGCAGCATCAGGTGACCTTAGCCACAGACAAGAATAATTCCATATGGCAGCAATTGTGGCAGATGTGACTCCTTTCTTTTGGTGACAGACCTCAAGCCTTTACAGAGTCCTCAAGGACTCAAAATGACAGATATCACCCTGGCTGGTGTGGATCAATGGATTGAGCTCTGGGCTATGAACCGAAAGGTCACTTCTTCGATTTCCTGTCGGGGCACATGCCTGGGTTGTGGGCCAGGTCCCCAGTTGGGGGAGTGCGAAAGGCAACCAACTGAAGTTTCTGTCCTCTCTTTCAGCCCCCTTTCCCCTCTTTAAAAGTAAATAAATAAAACCTTTTTAAAAGTGACATGTCTTTTTTGAAAATAAACCAGAATCAGCTGGCCATCCTCAGAGGAAGTGGGTGATGGTCATTCTATGAAGGGAGTTAACTTTTCAGGGGAGCTTACTGTTCCCCTGCCAGTACAACTTCTCTTCCACATTTTTCTTTTTCCATTGGCAGAGAAGCAGCATCTTAAAGGTCTTCCTGAAGGTTCTATTGCAGAGGGCATAGCAAATGGGGTTGACAGTGCTATTGACATAGCACAACCAGTAACCCAAGTGCCATAGGGCGACTGGGACACACTTGTCACAGAAGGTGGACACCAGGACCATGATGTTATAAGGGGTCCATGTGATGATAAAGGCCAGGAGAATCGCACTCAAGGTCTGGGCTGCTTTCCTCTCTTTGACAAGGACCATTCTCTTCCGTTTGGTCATTTGATGGCTGAGGCTGGGATCTAGGCCTTTCGTTGAAGGGTCTTTGGACCCTGGGGAGGAGCAGGCCATGATTTTCACCTTGCGACAGCCATTGTTGGTCTCCTGGGTCCCATCAGCTTTGACCACCAGTCGGAACTTATAGGCTACACATTTCTGGCTCTTGGGTCTATGAGCAGCTGCTGGAGACAGGAGATATTTTGGGGTGTCATAGTCATTTTTTTCAGTTTGACTTTTTCCAAAAGTTTCCTCGGTCTCTTCAGGACTGAATTCTTCTCTTGCGCATTCCTTGGCCTGACTCTTGTAGACGACCTGGAAGACAGGGTCAGTGGTGGGCTTGTCCTCATCCTCTGAGGAGGGGCAGCTGCTACACGTAGTGAGCTGCTCAGCTTTGTCCCACTCAGTGCTTGGGCCAGTGGCTTCAGATGGCTTCCCAGTGGTTGAGGTGCTTCTGCGGGAGGATGACCAGGAGGCTTGGTTCCTTTCCCTCTGGGCCAGTGTGGGCTGAGGGCAGCTGAAGCAGGACCTGAGCAGAGCCTTGTGAGCTGGCTTTCTCTTCTCAGTTTCAGCTATAGAGTCAGAGCCCTGCAGGTCAGCAAGGTCCTTGGTCCGCTTCTCTGTTTCCCGGTAGATCCGACAGTAGAGAATTGTCATGACAGAAACAGGAATGTAGAAGGCAGCAATGGCAGTGCCAAAAGTGATGGTGGGCTCAGACAGGAACTGGATCTGGCATGCGTCTGGAGGTACCGTTCTCTCCCCAACCAAGTACTGCCAGCAGAGGATCGCTGGGGCCCAGAGGATGAAAGAGATCAGCCAGGCCAAGCCAATCATGATGCCAGCCCTCTTTGGGGTACGCTTGGCCCGATATGTCAGGGGTCTTGTGATAGAAAAATAACGGTCAAAACTGATCACCAGAAGGTTCATGACGGAAGCGTTGCTGGCCACATAGTCCAGTGCAAGCCAAAGGTCACAAGCCAGACTCCCGAGAGCCCAGCGGCCCATGAGGATGTAGGTGGTGTAGAGGTTCATGGAGAAGATCCCAATGATGAGATCTGCACAGGCTAAGCTGAGCAGGTAGTAGTTGTTAACTGTCTTCAGCTGACTATTGACTTTGAAGGAGATCATGACTAAGACATTGCCCACAATGGTGATCAGGCTTACCACCGCAGTCACAGCTGCAATGGTGACGACTTCCCACAACCCATGGTGTTCCAAAGCCTGGTGATTTACTGGGGTGCCATTGACAGTAGTTGCATTGTGGTAAGATTCTCCTTCCATTCTGGTGCAAGAATTTGCATTAGGAGTAAGTCAGGTTCGATACTGTTCTCTTTTTTATCTAACACCTCTTCTGGGACAGCATCTGGAAGAGAGGAAATACATTATCTTCACATACCAGCATGAATTTCTTTTTCCTCTCATTGTTTATAATTTCAAACAAAATATTAAATGTGGTCCCACACACATTTGGGGCAAGATGCTGGAATGTCAAAAGTGTTTATTATATTTTTAAAAATATTTTATTTTTATTGTGTTTTTCCCCCCACTGCCATTAGATAATATTTTTATAAGGGCATCATCCTTTTGCTTTTTATGATTAATAATGCCTGAGCACCTTTCTTGTACGTGAGGCTGGTGCCCTCTTGTGGTTCCCAAAGGCAACTTTAAAAAGGTCTGGGAAGATGAGCAAAGGAAAAGACAGGAGAAGACTTGGATTGTTGGGAGGGGACTGCAAGTGACTTTGTTACTTTATACTACGATGGTTTAGGGAAGACATTTTTAAAACTCCCAGTGATAAGTACTTTGTCATGCACTGGAGAAAAAGACAAGTTATGTTAACTGCATAGTCCATTATTGACATTATTGAGTTTAATTACAAATTTAATTATTAAATATTATTGAGGTACTGTTGTGAGCCAACACAGTATATTACAAAATGTCATCCTGACTTAATGCACAAACTTGCAGTGGGTACCTGGTTTTCATTTAGAGGGTTTTGAAATTTGCCTCAATTGCTGAAATTGACCCTGCCTTTGGCTATTTACAATGTTATAGAAATTTTTAAAACTATCTTTCCTTTTTGGTTTTTAATTTATTTTTATTTTTTCTTTTAAAAATAATTTAAAATTTTCAATTATAGTTGACACACAATATTATATTAGTTTCAGGTGTACAACATAGTGATTAGACGTTTCTATAACTTACAAAAAGATCACCCTGATAAATCTAGTGCCCATTTAACACCATAGATAGTTATGACAATATTATTGACTATATTCCTTATGCTATACTTTATTTTTTATATTCACATAATTTTAAAAAATTTTTATTGAATTTATTGGAGTGACAGTGGTTAATAAAGTTATTTAGGTTCCAAGTATACAATTCCATAATACATCATCTGCATATTATATTATGTGTTCACCACCCAAATATCTTTTTAAAAAAATCTGACTATAAAACAATATACGTCTTGTAAAAATTGAAGCACTGTCAAAATGCATAACAGAAAACAAAAGTCTCCTCTAGCCCTGGCTGGTGTGGCTCAGTAGATTGAGTGCTGGCCTGTAAATTGAAAGGTTTTTGGATCAATTCCCAGTCAGGACACATGGCTGGGTTGCAAGCCAGGTCCCCAGTTGGGGGTGTGCAAGAGGGAGCAGATCCATGTATCTCTCACACATTGATGTTTTTCTCCCTCTCTTTCTCCTTCCCCCCTCCCTAAAAAGTAAATAAATAAAATCTTTGAAAAAAAAAGAAGTCTCTTCTAGTGTGGTCTTGCAGAGGTAATCAATACTAAGAGTTTAGCGTGTATTTTGACAGCTTTTCCCTATGGATATCTAACCAACATTTAAATACACTTATTTTTAAATGGGTGAATCTTTATTGTTTACACTCCGATTTTTTGTTTTTTACTTAACAAATCATCATGGACTTCTTTTGTATCAGTACATCTTTTGGATCAAAACTTTTTTTGCATTTTAATGATTGCTCATTATTTCACTTAAAGGTTATACAATAATTTATTCAATTATCCATTGACAAATTCTAACTTTTAAAAATAAAAAGAAAATTTTCTTTTCTAGTTTAAAAATTTATGTACATGATAAAAGCTTTGATGAGTACAAAATGGAAAATGATAAAAGATAGGTCTCCCTCCTCCCTCTGACCTCCAAGCCCCTACTCCCCTTTTTCCAGAGGTAACCAGTTATCATTTCTTATCTTTCCTTTCAGATAGATAATATCTTCATGTAATGTGATGATATATGAAAATACCATTACAAAATTCCAGGCACCATGACATGATGGTAGCGAAGAGAGAAGACTCTTTGCTGACCCTTAAAGCATGCCATGTGGCAATACCTGCTCTGCCTGCTGGTCGGTTTTGACACTTCTTTGATAACAGTATTGACACAAAGATGACAAATTTGTGAAGGGCTATAGATTTTCTTTGTTTTATATTGCAATATTTTAAACTGTATTTTTAGTTTTTTTAAAATCTCAAATTCAATATGGAATTGAAGATACTGTCTTGTAACAGAAACCAGATTCTCTCCCACTTTCCTCATCTTGTAACCTTCTCTTTCACATCCCAACTAGTGCAATCCTGTGCAGTCCAATTTACCTATGAAATACTACTTTCACTGGTCCCCTTCTAGTCCTGCTGCTACCACACTGGTCCAGTCTCCCATTACCTTATAGCAGTAACTCCTTGGTATTGTCAATGTCCAAAAGCTGGCAAAGCGAATCCCAAGAATGCCAGGTCCCTAGACACAGACTCACCAGAACCTGAAAAGACCAAAGCTACTTTATACCCTCCAATTATCTGGGCAAATGTCAGCACAAACTGTCTTTGACTTGTCAGATCTAAGCTGTACAGTGCAAGAAAGGGCCTACAGAAGTTTCTTCTTTTCCCCTCCCTCCCTCCCTCCCTCCCTTCCTTCCTTCCTTCCTTGCTTCCATTTATATTTATTGACTGTCTATTACTTAATAGACTCATGCTGAGGATACTGTGGACCAAGGCCCTAGCAGGTATATAGGTAAATATCTGGGGGTTGGTACTGCAAGCCATAGGGGCACATCTGAAGGGCATCTAACCCAGTTGGGGGTGGGTGGGGGAAGCACATCAAGATAAAAATGTCTAAGCCAAGACTTGAAACGTGAATGGGCTTTAGCTAGGCAAAAGAGGTAGGGTGGAGTTCCAGCCCCAGAAGGGAAGAGCTTGCCTGTAAGCTCAGAGGCAAAAGGAGGCCTCAAGCACCAGGAAGCCTGAGAAGTGAGAGCTAAGACTAGAAGGATGCAGGAGAGACAAGAGTGGACATGAGAGAAAATTCTCCTTTCTGGGAGAACCATGTCGCTATCTCCAGACTCTCCATCTGCTATGAAGGTTGTCCCAACATCGAGGGCGTTAGGAGCAGTGGTCTGGGGAGACATAATAAAATGAACCAACTGCTTGTTGAATTTTTCTAGCAAAGTCTTCAAAATAGAAATAATTAGTGTTTTGAAAGGATTTAATTTAATTTTAGGAAGCAATTTATGAAAGATTCAGGAATTCAGATGCACACATCTTCCTGTGAATGCATGTGTATGAACTGGTGCTTATCCTCTATGATCCAATTCTTTATTTGCAAAAACAAGGAAATTTGACTGTGGTATCTACATTTCTCTGATTTTGTATTTTACATAATGTGGTGGTTAATTTTATGTGTCAACTTGATTAAGCTATAGTACTCACTTGCTTGATCAAACAACAACCTAGATGTTGCTGTGAAGGTATTTTTTAGATGTGAATAACATTTAAATCAATAGACCTTAAGTAAAGCAGATTAGCCTTTATATCTTAGGTGAGCCTCATCCAATCTGTTCAAGGCCATAAGGAAAAAATACTGAGGTCCTCCAAAGAGGAAAAAATTCTTTTTCTTTTTTTAATATTAGAAGTTTTTATTATTAGTTACTAAGCACTAGCTTAATACTGCGGAAAATCTCAAATCACCCTTTCGCAACTCATTCTTACCACCCCACCAATTTCTTCCTTCCTTCCCTCCTTCCTTCCTTCCTTCTTTCATTTTAGAGAGACAGAGAGCAACATCAGTTTATTGTTCCCCTATTGATGCATTCATTGGTTGATTCTTGTATGTGTCCTGACTGGGGTTCAAACCCACAGCCCTGGCACTTCAGGACAATGCTCTAACCAACAAGGCTAACCGGCCAGGGCCAAATTCTTGATAATCAGCTTTTCCAGTAAAGATATGTTCTCTTTCCCCTTCTGTACAAAACTTTATGAAATAAAGGTAAGGAACTGTGCATCTTGTGGTAAAAAGGCTGTCCGCGGCTGCAGAAAATGCCTTCCCTGGCTCCCTTTACTGCTGGGGTCCTGAAAGACTCTTGTTCATGAATTGTTTCTTGTCAAAGCAAGTCCACCGCTTACTAAGTTTATCATTCTGAGGGTCAAAAACTTTCTCACAAAGTCTGAGTCCAGTCTCTTGCTTTAGCTGCTATAAATAGGCTGTTATCACATATCTTCCTGTTTGCAGGTTTGGCATAAATTGCATTAAGTGGAAAACTAGGCTCTCCAGGAATGGGAAAATTAATGATTTCCGGCGTATATATATTTTTCTCATCTTGGCTTTTGGAATCGTACTTTTGGAGTTTCTTTACACACTCAAAAATGTGGAGAGTAATGTGTATCAAGGTGCTATCAGCTTTATTCTTTATTTCGTAGTTTTTGGAGAAGACATTGGCTTTGAAGTAATAGATGGCTTCATCCGCGATACCTGTATTTTCTTGTCCCTCCAGGGGTGGGTCCTTTGAACTGACTTCTGATAGGCCACTGTGCCATGTTTCCAATGAATCTGGTGCCGGGGCCCATGAGAGAAGCGTGGTAAGCGGGCACCCAGCCCAGATGAGGAGGATGTGGGGTAGAGCGCAGCGCCTCTCGTCTGCTGGCTCGGGCAGGGCAGGAGGAAGGCGAATTCTGCCTCCAGACTCAGGATTGGGACACTGTCTCCTGTCTGAACTGCTAGCCCCCTGGCCTGCTCTGCACGTTTCAGACTTGCTAGCCCCAGCAATTGCATGAACTGATTCTTTAAAAATGTCTTCCTCTTTCTGTCTCTTGCTGATAAACAGAATAAACACTTTGATAAATTGAAAAGCAGCTCATTTATAGTGGCAACATCATCTCAAAATTATACAAGTGACTCTGGCATTAGGCAGCTTCAGGTTCAAAACATAGTTTTGAAATATGACTCTAGGCATATTATTTAACCTCTCTAAATTTCAGACGT